TTTGATAAACACTTACCCGGCAAATTCTTTATTTTGTTTACTTCTTTTAATATTTTCTTTTTGCATCTTTAAATATTTATGAAAAGAAAGGAATAGTAGTTGTGATTTGATCGACGTGTACATATTAATTATTTATCCTATTGGTTCTTTTTTTGGGAGGACAGACGCAAATTGTTTTTTTTTTTTTTGGGGAAAACAATTAATTTTTTGACAGAGCTCAAGGTGACAAAACGTGAGTGCTGTTGTTTGGTTTGGTTTGGGTTTCCTAAAGAAAACGTGTTAATAACTAACCAGAGATACTATTTTTTATTTGTACTGATTGATATTTTTATTTTAGTTTATAAATATTTTAATTGGAATCAAAACGCGGAGCAGATCTTGCTGGGTAATTATAAGATTCTTATCAACAATGAATGTTTGGTATTTTGCTTTGCGTAATCGTAATAATAATAATATTATTATATAATTAGAAGGCAAGGCAGCATGACTGAAACAATTCAAATATGCAACGTTTGATTATCGGAAATTGGCAGACGTTGAAGCACGCACACTGCCTTGAACACTTTACAGTCATTCTCACGTATTCCTCATGTGCACAAGGCTAATCTGACTACGCTGCTCCCGATGATACAATGATGCAATTGAATTTTCAGGGGGGGGCGCAAAGCTCTGGAGTTTGCCGAGATTGCATCAATTGTCAAGGATGTTTTTCACTAATCTTCCCAGATCAGAGAAGGCTGCTGGCACACTAGCCGAAAAGTTGCTTGCGACGATCTCACCTCTAGGGAAGGATGGCACTGTGGCCAAGTCGCAACTCTGCTGATGAATTTAGACAGAACTCAGGACCCAAAACTCCGAATTCAGGGAAAAACCAAAACAACAACCCAGGTTGTAACCTCCGAGTTGGAGAATTTTCAATCAGTTGCGGACACCAACTTTGTACTGGAGAGGTATAACACAAAGCAATCATCACACAAGCACCAGCTATCAGTGATCAATGCCCATATGATAACAGTCAAGCCTGGTCTGAGGGAAAGATAAGTAAAAGTTTGTCCAAAGCCTTCCAACGTGTTCAACCCTCCTTCACCTGTGGAAAATATTCCATGGTGCTGAATTGTGCTTGATTGCATCGCGATTGCATGTTTGTGATAGGAAATTTTTATTAAATCTGACACCTGTGATCAACATCAGATTTATTATTCATAAGGAACCATAATTGATAATGAGGAAAAACAATTTATTTTGTGAATCCCAGAGATCTGGGTAGACATGCATTATTAAGAGTTTCATTTATGCATGGCCTTGGTATTATTACTACTTGGGTGATGCAATTGTTTGTTATGTCAATGATGATATCAAATGTATTGAATAATAATCATGACCATCATGAATATTTGATGGATGGAGGCATTCACATACAAGGAAATGATTAAATAGTTAAGTCATGTTTGTTTTATTAAAGACATATAATTAATTATATTTAAATATACAATAAAAAAATTGCACTGAATCCAAGACTGCATCACTATGTCAATCAAGCTATCAAGCTGTTATGATTTAAAATTCTTTTGTGCTAATTTAGGGTCCCACCTTTCTTTGCTTATATATAATCTATTGGTTCTCTTTTTTACTGGTTGAATGATGCCAAATTGGGCAATGGGGTATCAGTAAATGTCATAATCTGATTATTCTTTAAAAAAATAATTTAGGTAATAATATTCTTAATATTTTTATCATATACTGTAGTCTAAAAGCCTATTAATAAATATTGAAAGTGCTGATATTTACCAGATATTCTTTTAATCCTTTTTTTTAGTTAATTATTGCTTAATTTAATAAACCAATAACTCTTTTATATTGTAATTAAATTATTGATTAAATATTTATTTCTAAAGCTCTTTGTGCTAAAATAATATCATAATCTTGAGCAGTAGTTACTATTCAAAAATAAGGTTTACTCGAATAAAACAAACAATTTGAGTAAAACGAATAAACGAATAAAATGAATAATAGTAATTTGAATTAAAGAATAAAACAAATAAAGCAAATAAAGCAAATAAAGCAAATAAAACAAATAAAAGCAAATAAAAGTAAATAAAACATATTATGAATAGAAATCATGCATTAATATTAAAATCAAAAAACAACAATAAATAAACAAACAAATAGCTTTTATTGCGAAATAATTGATTTTGTTCCTTCACAAGCAGTAGTCAATTTAAACAGCGTTGTTTTAAAAGAATTTATTCAAAATATTTATTTTAAATGTATAAAATTTAATGATTTTTAATGTTGCAAAAATTTTTTTGATACATCAATCTCAGTCCATATTTATATACTTTAAAGTTTCTTTATTTCTTTTTTGATAAATAATAAATTTATCCATTTGTTTATTTGTTTTAGTAGATTCGGATAGATTTTATTAGAACAAATGTACACTACAGCAAATTTCAGAGAATCAATAATGTAAAAATACACATAATAAGTATATACAGCTTGTAGCCTAGGTCCTGTAGAATATGCATGCAAAATTTTCGTGTTTTCTGATTTTTGCTATATATCATCAGGAAGTTAAACGCACGTGATTCAGCGCGTTGTTCAATTCAATTCAATTAATTAATTTACTTCGTCGACAATCATTTCGTCGACACCCATTTTGTCGAAAGTTTGTTTCGTCGAAAGTTCATTTCGTCGAAAGTTCGTTTCGTCGAAAGTTTGTTTCATCGAATGTTCATTTCGTCGAAAATTATTTCATCCTCGAGCCAGAGACCGAACGAGTTAGATGTGAGGAGTGTGGGAAGTTAGTTAAGCAATTAGGTGAGGAAAGCGGAGTGTGTGGAAAGTGTGAGGAGAAATTTGTTTTTTTTTTGTGACGAAATGAACATTCGACGAAATGAACATTCGATGAAATAAACTTGCGACATAATGAACATTCGATGAAATAAACTGTCGACGAAATGACTGTCGACGAAATGAATCAGACCCCGCAACGGTATTTTTCATGTGAAAATTTGGCAGGAGGAGACATTACAATTCATATTACACCACGAGAAGTAGTTTTTTTTTTGGGAATACGTTCTTATTCTAATATTAATCCTTGTTTGATTGCAGTAGATGATGAAACATTTTTAATTTATAATCATTTTAGTCAATCAAGTACACAAAACTTTCTTTTAAATATTTTTTTTAATCAATAAAGATAATTTCATAATTTTAAAATGAATTCGGAAAATCGATTCGCATAATTATAAAAAGCTAAGATTCGCATTAATATGATTTGTCATTTAATTTGGCGATCACATACAATAGAGTTTTCCTGGGCTTATTATGGTTACACACCGTACGCGTGATAAATTTTAAATACTCCTTGTATGAACAGGACCCTGTAAACCATAAAGATATCAAATTTGGAAAGATTGTCCCTAGTCAGCCATCAAATCACACAGCCCTTATTTATTACTATGAACTTTTCAGTCCTTCCTTATATGAGATCAAATATTAATTTTTTTTTGAAATAAATTGAAAAATTCTTGTTGAATATCATAATAAATCGCTTGTTTTCTGTTTCACAATAGCATAAAATGTCATCATGGATTATAACAGTCACATATGTAGGAGGGATGCTGGTGGTGATGAGTACATTTTCATATATATGGCGAAGGCGAAAAGCTGGTAGTGTAATATTTGGAATCGAAAACATACATTTTTAAATTACAAAATAATGAAATTAATAAATAATATAAAATTCTAAATAATATAATTAAACTAGATAGAACAGGTTATGAGCCTTGGTTTCCTGAACATTCTACAAGAGACATTTATATATCATTATTAGAACAAACTTCTCCGCCAGCAACGGAACTACAACTAAAAGCTGCTTTATTACGTCGAGCGATGACTGATGTTGAAAGAGTAAAAAAACTGAGAGAAGATAAGCCTGCACTTTTAACTCTGGTACAAAAAGGTGCAGTGGGTGATGAGTTATGGAATTCATTTGTGAAGGCTGAACAAGAAATACAAACTGAAATTATGGAAGTATCAGCTGAGGCCAACACTTTTAAAGATGATTGGGGACAAACAATATTTCAGACAGCAAATGAAATGATCCATCATCAAAAACACAAAGAAATTCCTGAGAAAATGAAAGAATTAAAAGAGAAAGAAGAAAAATTGTATAAAAAAAGGGAGGAGCGAGAAAAAATTGAAATCGAGGAAAAAGAGAAAAGAGAAAAATTAAGAACAGAAAAAGAACGTAAAAAAGCTGAAGAAGAATTATTAAGAATGGATGAGGCTGAAAAGAAAAAGGCTAAAAAAAAAAATAAGAAATAAATCTTGCGTATAAATTCAATCACTTCATAATTAATAGTAAAACTATGAACATTTTATTTTATTTGTTTTATTGTTTTTAGATTTAATAAATAAAAACGATATTTCATGTAATGTATTCTGATGAAGAAATCAAATTAACGAAACTGCTTCTTTATTATTAAAAAAATTTTTTTTTGCGATTCTATATATAAATGGAATAGATCTGTGTATCTTTGTTTTTTTATACTTTGAAAATTAATTTATCTAACGGATTTGATTCATCATTTTTATCCAATCATGAATACAGTCGATAAAACAGATTCTTCTAATAATATTGAAGCCATCACTTCTAATACTTCTAATACTTCTAATACTCCTAATACTCCTAATACTCCTAATACTCCTAATACTTCTAATACTTCTGTTACCAATGCTACCGTTACTGCCACAACTAACAAAAAACGTACACCGGAACAAATTAAAGCTAAAGAAGTTATTTTAACTCAAGTTGAATATTATTTTGGAGATGAGAATCTTGGACGTGATACTTTTTTGAATGAGTTGCGAAACAAAGATCCAAATGGATGTTAGTATTTATTCTTGTTATAATTTTTTTAACAAACATATATGTATTCTCATTCGTCCATGTTCATTTAGGGTGTTCACTTAACATTATTCGTACTTTTAAGAAAATGCAAGTATATAAGGACCTTGAATTAATAGTTGAAGCATTACGTGAATCACCAGAATTATTAGAAGTGGATGAAGCAGGTGAACATGTTAGAAGAAAACTCCCACTTTTAATGGAAGTACCTAACCATGTTAAGCAATCAGCTATTTGGAGAACTATATATGCAGTAAATTTTATATGATTATTATATATATTATATTATTTAGATATTTTCATTCGCATTTGTTTTAAACTGTTATATTCATTTGTTCCTTTGACTTATTATTTTAGAAAGGATTTGGTGATACATCAACTCCGTCACTTGAAAAAGAAGTTAAAAGTTTCTTTTCTCAATATGGCAATGCTCAAAAGATCTTTCCCAGAAGGGATAATATTACTGGAAATTTTAAGGTATAATAATAATAGATTTATGTCACATATAGTGTGTAGATAGACATACATATATAAATATTATTATTATTATTATTATTATTATTATTATTAGGGATCATTCTTTATTGAATTTACAAATCATGAAGAGGCAAAAAAAGTTAAAGGAATGGAATTGACTTTTCATGATACAAAACTTCTAATGATGATGAAGTGAGTTTTTATCAAAAACAATTCCTAATTTACACCAATTAATTAATTTAAATAATACTAATATTTTATTGCTAATAGATTTGATTATTGTGAAATGAAATGTGTCGAAAAAGGACTTGATCCTAACACAATGCGCAAACCACAGAATGAGAATAACAGAAAAAACCTAAAAATTAAAAATAATAGTTTAATACAATTTTCAAGTGCAGGAGAAAATATCGATCGTTTTTCAATTAAAGTAAGCTTTCTTAATAATAATAATAATAGTAATAATTATAATTATAATTATTACTATTATTGTTGTTGTTGTTGTTATCATCATATCATTGTTATTAATTAATTAATTATAATAGGGAATTGTTGAACAAAAATATGCTAAAGTATCACATGTGCAATATAAAGCAAAGGAACCTTCAGGAATTATAGAACTTATGGAATCTGGGGCTGATGCTATTGTTAAATCTATGTTGCAAGATAATTTTACCTTAGGTGGTGATAAACTTACTCTCAAAGTATTAGATGGTATGTATAATAATTTCATATGATTATATGCATATATATTAGAAAGGGGATGCTAAATCAACTTTTATATTCTTTTCTTTTTTTTAATAGGTTCAGAGGAATTGAGATACTTCGTTAACAAACAAGCATATTTTAAGAATAAAAAGAGAAAAAGCGATATAAATATTACAACCAATAAAAATAAAAGAAATAAGTATAGTCCAAACAGAAATACAAACAGATATACAAATAAAAATAAATATAGTAATGATGACAGCAATAATAATGTTAATGATATTAATGATAGTCATGATAGTAACAATAATAGTAATAGTAATAATGATAATGTTAATGATATTAATGATAGTCATGATAGTAACAATAATAGTAATAGTAATAATGATAATGATAATGATAATAATGATAGTCATGATAGTAACAATAATAGTAATAGTAATAACAATAATGATAATGATAATAATGATATCGCTGTTAGTAATAAATAATAAATAATAACAATGTTATGGTGCCAATAATTTAAATACATCAAATGCTGCGCCAACCGGTGAAAATTTTCTATGAAAATCATTCCTTTTATGGAACGTGATTTTTAAGCATAGTGGACATTTGATTTTATTGGCTAAATTTTGTGACAATCTCCCTTCCAGATACACGCAAAAATTAAATTTTATTGGCTTGAAGATTGCCATGCAAATTTGAAAAACTTAATATCGGACAGAGGGAAAAAAATTTAGTTTCAAATTGATAAAAATAAAATGTTTATAATAAATAAAAAAATTAATATAGTATTTCTTTATTGAATGTTTTTTAATACATAGGCTTGGTTTTTTGTTATATAGTCTAATATATTATTTACTTTTCAACTTTTCATTGACTTCATCAAATCAACATTTTACCTTTGATCATGAATTGTCATCCATTATATAACCATATTAACTGGTGCCAATCCCATAACCAAAGTGTACAACATATAATAAAAATTACTCTTTTTGAAATAAATAAATAATTTTAATTAATTTAAAGCAAATTTTTCACCAGCTTAATAATAGCTTCTTATTGTTTAATAAAACTATCTTATTAATAAAATATTTTTTTATATTTAGCATTCGAAAATGAAAAATTGGTATAAATCATTAACAGAAAATAATATTAATTATAAATTATTTTATCAAAAAGATCAAAGTATTTTTGTTTGTGATGATTCATATCAACTGAACATCATGGAAGCATATCAAGATTTATATAGCTCATATATCTTGTGGATAAAATCCCCTATAGGCATGGAATCTGATTTAGAAGATGAAAACAATAATGATGGTTAGTGCAACAATGTCTGAAAAGAATGCTCATATTTTGTGTGAAAAGATGAAGATAGAATGGAATAATCTTACTATAATTAGATCATCATCATTTGTTCACCCTCATATTTTCTTGCAAGTCCATGAAAAGAAAAAACCAAAAAAAGAAGCTAGCTATAGTCAAGTTGTTGAGGAAATTAACAAAACGTCTGCTGGAAGATGTATAGTTTATTGTGCAACACCTAAAATTTGTGAAGACCTCAAAATTTATGTAACTAATGAAATTACAAATTGTGAGTTTGGCCTTTATCATGGTAATTTATCTGGAGAGGAAAAACATATGTCATTAATGAAATGGAAAACTGGAAATACTAAAATAATCATAGCAACAAATGCTTTTGGAATGGGTATAAACACTTCAGATATATACCTTATAATTCATTTCAATTTTCCTTTGAGCCTTGGCCAATATCCAAGAAAGTGGGAGAGCTGGGAGAGATGGTTCACAATCAAAAAGTATTATTTTATATTCAAAAAGTGACTTTAAATTATTACATGGAATCATTTCTGAATCAAGAGAAGATGCTGGAGAAAATGAAACTTTGCAAAGGAGAATTTATCTTGAACAAGGACTTTAAAGCCTTCATGAAATAATGTTTTTTAATTAGAAGATGTTTATTTTGTGTTGTAAAAGTTAAATTATAATATAATACTTACCATCTGGTTATTATAAAGAAATAAAAAACAAATTATTTAATTAGATGATGTTTATTTTGTGTTGTAAAGTTAAATTATAATATAATATTTACATCCTGGTTATTATAAAGAAATAAAAAAACAAATTATTTAATTAGATGATGTTTATTTTATGTTGTAAAATATTTACCTTTAAAGAATTTAGCTAAGTATTATTTTATTATGTAAAAATACTAGATATTTTTAAAATAGTTATTTTCTGTGTAAGAAAAAAATACCTTCATTCATTTGTTTTTACTAGGAGCAAGGATTTCCCCAAGACCTATGCGTTTATTCCTATTTAAGAAATTGTATTTGTAGTATATGGGGCATGCTGCAACAAAACCAGACAAAGTGAACATTGGTGTTGTAAACGTTCAAATAATTATCACTAATTATTTAACAATGTCAATGAATAGGTAACTTAATGGTTGTTAAATTACAAAAAGTTTCTTAATTTTATTTGAATTTAGTTTCTTTAAATAATAAAATTACAATTCTTAAAATACAAATATAGATCATGTAAGTAATAAATGTAATAAATAATATAATCCTTCAGAGAAAAACGCAAATAATCCTAATTGCCAAATTAGTAATAGTGAATTTAAAAGATAATTTCTCTATATTACCAAATATGGTAAATAATATTAATTGCCTAATTTTGACAAATTATTTTACCAATCGATAATCTACCAAGAATTTTAGGGTTAATATCTTATTGTACCATTAGTATACTTATCATCTCTGTACTTATTGACAAATCTCTGCACAAGAGGTCAAGTTGTTTTGTACACAAATCTGGCAGAAACGTTTTTAGAAGTTTACAAGTACATGTGCACAAAAATTGATCAGTGAATTTTTATACAGTGCGGATCATCTACACTCAAAAGTTAAATTTTTTGAAATATTATGTGATCCACACATTGGATTTTAAAAAACTTACCACCATTCAATTCAGCTTTAAAAGGGGAGTCTATTAATCTAAAAAAAAAATTTGTCTCAAATTTTCTTTTCATAGATTTTTTAAATTTGAAAGTTATGCTCAGAAGTGCAACAATAATTTTCGTGTTACAATATTTTGAATCTCGCGACCAAATTTGGTAATGATTTTCTTTTAATGTAATATGTTGGGGTTGGTCACAATGGTTGATCATCAAGCATAGTTCAGGTCAATATAGAAAATTATTATATGCGGATTTTTTAATGTTACACATATATATCATCAAAACATTATATAGTGCAAATCACTTAGTCGCTGAACTTTTTGTGCTACACCGCCATTTTTTGAGAAAAAAATTTCCAATCAAAAATGCAATAAAATTTGTATGGTCACGTGTTTTTGAAGATTGTCAAATGCAGAATTTTATCCAAATCATATAAACATGAGCAGCATGATAGAAATTCGTTTTATATCACAATTCGACGATCATTCATGATAAACGTGATAAATTTTATTTATGTTGTATGACATAAGTTTCACAATTAATTACAATACCAATGCACACGATAAAACTTTATATAGTAACTTGTACGTTTTTACATTTTAAAAAAAAAAACAAATAATCGTTTTATATATTTTAACCTATTTTCTCTCCTTTTCCACTCCCTGATCAATTTGGAACAATTTGATGCATGAATTAGATGAAGAGTGAAAAAAGACATTTTAACGAATCATAGTTCAAGGCATTTTTACCTATAAACAAAATATTTATTGAATACAGTTCATTCTTTTTATAACAGCCTTTTCTATAATGGTTTTCATGCTATAACATATGTCTCATATACTAATACTGTCTCTATGATGAATGAACTGTAGTTGAATAATTATCATTAAAATAAAAATACATATTCAAAAAATAAATATTTACATGAATTATAGGAATTTTATACATCAACGTGTAAGTATATTATTAATTAATAGGTTGAAAATTTACCAATCATTTACTAAATTAAGCTCTCTATCCAAATCTATGTTTAAACTATTTACAGGAGTGTTGGTATCATCATCGTCATCTACTTCCTCTTCTTCAATTTCATCATAATCATCATTGGTTAGAATGTCAGGTCCTTTTTCAAGTCTCTTATTGAATGATTTTACATTACTATCTATACCCTTCTTATAATATTCTTCACAATATCTACATCGTTTTTCTAATTCATTATAGCAATTCACATGGTATCCATGACCACATATTAGCACAACTTCATCATTATTTGTGGAAGTTGATAATAAACCTTTGCAGTGATCACATAAGTTAATACTTGGGGGATATGATGTGTTGTAACCTGCTGGGAGAAGTTTTGTATCCACAATTTTATCTAGAGTTGCTAATTTGTAGGTTTTTTTCTCTTCATTTTCTAATTTACTTTTTCCAAGATTTAAATAAATTGAATGGAAATAATTTAACAAGAACAAGCTAGTTCTTATTGTTAACTCCTCCAGCACTGGTTCTGTATATGGATATGTACGTTCATTTTTGAATGCTTTTATTGTTGTTTGATCATGAAGGTCAAGTAAGTATGCTTGGTTGATTATGGCTTCTGGAGTATGTAATGAGGTTGTATTGTTTCTTATTTTACTATGTATGTTTTCAACATAATAATCATTAAAATTAGCTAAATATAACTTTATTGTTTCATTAAAAGGATGATTTTTATCTTTCCAATAATAATAATCAGATAAAAATGCCAAAGGAGCTTTGTTATAGTTTTTTCTTCTCCACCTCAATGCAAAGGTCCAGATACGAAATACAGTTTCCAAGTATTCTTCAAAAGAACCTGACCTAAATAATATTGCGTATATGTCTAAAGTTGAAGGTATGATATTATCTAGAAGGTCTATCATCATTCTATATTCAATATCTTTGCAATTTTTGGGAAATTTATTTAATATCACGTGAGAGATTTTTTTCCAACCTCTACTTGCAAGATCTAGCAAAAGATTAATTCTCCAAGGCTTTGGTTTTTTTGCCAACACTTTTCTTGATCCAAAAACATAATGAAATAACTTATTGAAGAACTCCCAATGCAATACTATTATATGCTCTCTTGAATTTAATGATATGTGTAAAGGTCCGATTAATGG